TTCATTAAAAAATAAATTTAAGAAATTGTCTTTGTTGGAGTTCTGGATACATATTGGCAAGGAATTCCCAACTTTGAGCCAAAAGGCATTGAAGATACTGATTCCTTTCGCAACAACTTACTTATGCGAGACAGGCTTTTCTGCTCTGGCAGCTATAAAGTCAAAGTATCGTTCAAGGCTAAATATTGCTAAAGAAGTTAGACTGGACATTTCTGATATTACATCACGTTTTAATAAACTTTGTTCTCAAAAGCAGGCCCATCCCTCACACTGACCTTTGATATTTAAATGTTTGATTTTCTTTGCAGAAAAAATTAAACACTTCTTAGTTAAATATTGTTTCATTTCAATACATATTTTGGTTAACTGCAAGTGTTAAAACTAATTTATATTGTAGGCCTAATATTGTGATACTTTAATTTCGAGTAAAAAGCTGCTAAATAGTATGTAGAAAAACACAAAATAAAATGAATAAAACGTCAAACATACAATGACTTCCATTTTGATAAAAAACAGTCTGGGGGCATGAGAGTATTTTCTCTTGTCAGGAGGGGCTCAGAGGTAAAAAGTTTTTATTGTATAAGCCTACTGTTTTCTGAGATGACACTGTGTAGTCTGGTAGAAACATATCAATATTCTGAAAGAACCCACTGCCTCTCTCCTCATGGTAAAAGCGGAGGACCGGGAGTGGGGCAACTCAATGGGACCCAGTGACCCCAGTACGGGCTCTCAAGTCTCTGTATCATAGAATTTTTAGTTACCAGTCTTCTTGTCAAACTGACTTTCGTTCTCTATTACTTCCCTTTCAAAATATACTGTGTAGAATGTTGAAGGTTTTCTGTCATTACTAAAACCTTTTGCATCACCTCCTGTCACACTGTTCCTAATACCTCTTCCATCGCCTCATCTTAAACAGGGTCAACAAAACATTTTATATCACACTATTTTCAGATGCAATAGCATGTTTGAGGCACTATGCTAGAAACCTGAAGGTCACAGGTTCAAGTCCTGTTGAGGTGGATTTTTTCAATTTATCTAATCCTTCCAGTCACACTATGGCCCTAGGGTCAACCCGTTCTCTAACAGAAATGGGTACCAAGAATCTTCCTGGGAGGTAAAGCCACCGTGTAAGGCTGACAACCTTACCACCATCTGTGAGCTGATTTTCTATAGAAATTGTGGAAGCCTCGACGTTCACAGCCCTATGCTCCTTCACACCCAGTTACAGGGATAGTTTTACCTTTTACCTATTTTCAGAATCACAGTCACCAGAAAATTTTTCACCTCTTCTCGTTGACCATGTGGTTGCTTCCTATTGGACAGCGCGTCTTTCATTCTCTCATAGCTTCATCTCCATCTCATCCACAGTGAGATGTATAACATATCCCCCTTCCATATTCATTACCTCTGAAAATGGAAACTGCAATGTACGCCAAAATGTTGAAAAACGTTCAGCATTCTACATGATGTATGCCTGAAAACCAATTCACAATTAAGGTCCAGCTGAGAAAACCTAAGGACAAAACTGACTTTCAGTCTCTTACTCAATTCATTTTACTGATTTATAAACAAATATTTTATGCCTTTATGATTCACTAGCCTTACATGTTTCGATCCATTTGGATCATCTTCAGAGGCATCAAACACTTTTTAGAAACCACTATCACAACGGTTGTCATATCAATTACACATGTATTGCCAAGTACACAATGTTCCATCTATCAGTCACAGCAGCCTNGTCGATCTCACTAGTGATATGTGTATTTCATTAAAAAATAAATTTAAGAAATTGTCTTTGTTGGAGTTCTGGATACATATTGGCAAGGAATTCCCAACTTTGAGCCAAAAGGCATTGAAGATACTGATTCCTTTC